GACGGTCTCAGGGATTGAACGCCGACCTGCATGAAGCGAGACCGTTGCTCTACCGTCCAGTCCAAGTACTTAGGCAGGGAAACATGCACAATCGTCTCCGTCCTGCGCGGGACCATTCAAATGTGAGCAGACTGTTGTATTATACGCTTAAACTATACAAAAAATCTTATAGACATTACATGAATTAATAAAAAATTATAAAAATCTATCACACTGTTAAATATATTGCAGGCAAGTGCGCTTGGAGGGTTGAGTCTGGATTCCTCTTGGATTCATTGATGGATTCCTCTGGACGGTTTTATCAAATCTGTTTAGACAAAAGTTGAGGAGAGCGCAGCACGTCGAGGGAAAAGCAAAGTTAATGGTGTAACTCCAGGCTCTCCAACACGGAACAAGATATCATATCTAACGCTATAAACCGTTATATAAACTTTATAAAGCTATAAACAACATGGTTTGACTCCTACAGCCTGCTCCGTGACGTCTCTGGCAAGCGGTTCAGATCCTTCCCTGTCTGTACCCCATAGGATCCAACTGTGTAGTGTTCGCGACAAGGTTAGGGATTATTAGACAAGGATTCCACTAATAGAACAAATCCACAAGAGCCGTGACGAGGATTCGAACCTACGTCCGAGAACATCCCAGACGCTGCCTTAATCGACTGAGCTACGACATGGTCACTACTAGACTACACAGGCTTACTTCCCTGGCTTCTCCTGAAGCCCAATTTGCTCTGTTATGTGGGTATCACGCCACTCATGATTAATAAAAGCATTTTTCTTGTAAATATTCAATAATTCATTTCATATTTGTAATCCATAATATGTGGAAAAGGTATTAGATGATAAATAATATTCCTGACTTCACGCCATCTTGACGGGATGAAATATTGTCCCTGTTCTCTAGTTCTCAAGCGGTTAGGCTTCTTGTATGCTGTCTCACACATATAAAAGAAAACAATGAAACACTGATCAATATTACTCATCAGTTCTCCTTTCACTAAGATCAAACCAAAAATTAATCTCGTTTATCTCTGGCAACAAAGATCGAGACGTTTCTCTCTAAAAATTATTTTTATTTACAGGATTTCGTTTTTTATGGCTAAGTAAACATATGACCTACAGATACAAAAATAATAATAATTTGATTTAAAACTATACAGAAAAACACGGGCAGTAGTTGAGTAATTTATCTATAAAATACATATGAAAAACCACAAGAACCCACACGGCTTCGAATATATTTTATAACAATTATATTTTATATTATAACCTAAAAGGGGTATATTGTATATTTATTTGTAGTTAATATTATTTTCATTCTCAAATTTGTTGATTTTTAGGCAGAATTTGTTTTTATAAATAAAAAAATCCATTACAAGCTTACCATAGCTTGGCATTTTTATTCCGAGTTGCTGAATCTAAAATAACAATATTTTATATACACATTGCTATTTTACCCTGTCGTAGCTCAGTCGATTAAGGCAGTGTCTGGGATGCTCCCGGACGCAGGTTCGAATCCTCGTCACGGCCCTTGTGGATTTGTTCATTTGATGTATCACGTTAGTGTGATCTCTGTGTGTAATGTGTAATACACATTACTGTTCGATCAACAAATAAGTTTAGAAGAAGAAAGGAATACTCATTATTTAACTATAGGACACAACATATCCTCGTAGCTAACGCGCCTCATTTTGTACGCTACAGTCACGAAGTGGTAAATTAAGTGAATGGGGCTGATATAGGGAGAGGTTTACCTATACAAGGGTAAACTACAGATTGAGTATACAAAAAGGGTTTAGTTTACCGACTGTCAATGTTCAGAGTGTAAAGTATTCTTACAGGTTGATTTGTAAACTTTTGTGGTATCCTTAATAACCTTCCAGCGTTTGCTAGGCTTTATCAACATCTAACAATAGGCACAAGGTGCAAAAGTTATGTTTTAAAGGAATATCTTTAAGTACCGGTTTGGGAATAAGTTTGTTGATTAGAGGAATGATATGTTTGTTAGAAGTATTGACAGTTTTACAGGATTTTAGGATCAGACTGAATCAGTGTAAGAATTGACCTGCTTTACACACAAAAATCACAATTGCGTGATGCGTCTCGGACGCAGATTCGAATCCTGGTCACGGTCCTTGTGGATTTGTTCATTGACCTGCTTATTGCTCACCTAGCAATAAGCAGGGATCCGGGAGTCAGCCAACTGTTGTGAGGTTACATCCTGAGACAAGGTCAGTAGATCGACCTTACGGGAGGACCTTCATACAAGCCTAAAGCATATATATATGTCAAAAGTACGGTGCCGGGTGAGTCATATTGAACACCTGCGGGACACAGTTACAGCGTGGCAATCATATAGTCTCCTAGATCCTGTTTCATCAAATTTATATACATTTATTTACTGCTCACATGTTGCTGAGTCGTATTATATGTTATAGAAAATATATTTATATTACTGAGGGATTTTATTTGTTGTAGAAAATACATTTATATTACCGAGTATTTTATTTGTTGCATATAATACATTTACATAACTATTTTATTTATTGTAGACAATACATTTATGTAACTGAGTATCTTTTGTTTCTCGAAGAAAGGAGAATGTAATAGCTAAAGCATTGACTGAACCCTTGTTGATACATAAATAATGTCTCGAAAATTCGTACCTAAATCTAGCATCTTAACTTGAGATCCAAAGTGGCGTTATTAATCTGCAGGCGATGAGTCACAATAACGTGGCTGAAGTATGTTGACCAAACCACACACTAGAAGGTGAAGGGATGACGGTCCGTCCTGGACCATTCTCAAGTCGATTGTGAATGGGTCCAGGACGGACCGAAACGTCGTCGTCCCTTCACCTTCTAGTGTGTGGTCTGGTAAACGTTAGTAATCTGACATGGTTTCACTGATATCCTGTGCCTCCTGTATCATTGTAAATGGAGTGAAGCGGTAAGTCAGGAGAGAGTCAGCGTGATAACACGCGAAGCGTTCCTGGAGTCTGCGTCACCTGGCCAACACTGGTGACACACCTCCAGTGAATACCAGCCCAAAGGTGAGCTCCATCTTGAGGTTATCTTGAGAGGATTTCAGGGCTTAGTGTCCCCCCGGCGGCCCGGTCCTCGACCAGGCCTCCACCCCCAGGAAGCAGCCCGTAGCAGGTGTCTAACTCCCAGGTACCTATTTACTGCTAGGTAATAGGAGCATCAGGGTAAAAGAAACATTTTGCCCGTTTGTCTCCGCCTCCACCGGGGATCGAACCCAGAACCTCAGGACTACGAATCCGAAGCGCTGTCCACTCAGCTGTACATGCACGGACAAGCTTCTTAATTTGTGTGCGTATATATATATATATATATATATATATATATATATATATATATTATATATAATAGGCGAACAAGCCTGAATGGTCCCCAGGACAATATGCAACTGAAAACTCACACCCTAGAAGTGACTCGAACCCATACTGCCAGGAGTAATGCAACTGGTATTTACAGTACGCCTTAATCCGCTTGACCATCACGACCGGACTAAGGAAGTGATAGCCGAAGCTATTTGAACCACTTCCCTGCCGGCAATCGGATGGTAATCTTGGGCTTAGCATTTTATGAAATCACCTCATTTTTTTTGGGGCAACATGTGAGGAACACAAATATGCCAAATGCATATTGGCTATCACTTCCTTAGTCCGGTCGTGATGGTCAAGCGGATTAAGGCGTCCTGTAAATATATATATATATATATATATATATATATATATATATATATATATATATATAATATATATATTATATATATATATATATATATATATATATATATATATATATATATATATATATATATACAGAATAACCACATATGAAAAATAGAAACTGCTTAACGCGTTTTCGGCTAATTCGCCTTCATCAGAGCAAAGTAGAATCTACTTTGTCATTCATTCTTTGCTCTGATGAAAGAGCATTCAAAGTCATTCTACTTTGCTCTGATGAAGGCGAATTAGCCGAAAACGCGTTAAGCAGTTTCTATTTTTCATATGTGGTTATTCTGTATACTTGGATCAGTGTTTTTGTGATCATTGTTGCATATATATATATATATATATATATATATATATATATATATATATATATATATATATATATATATATATATATATATATATATATATATATATATATATATATATATATATGTATATTGTCAAAAATGTGTGACCATTATATGTAAATTGGTTAATTTAGAAACTGTACTTGTGATTGGTCTCGAGCCCATTGTTGATATGACGATGTGTATTGAATGTTGTAACTAGCTCATCAAGATTGTAACTTGCTTAGCTAAATGAATTGTGGGGTTCAGTCCCTGAGCCCATTATGTGCCTCTGTAACCCTTTCCACTACCGCTCACAAGATGGGTATGGGGTGCATAATAAATTAACTAACCTAACCTATCTCATTAAATTAGGTAGGCTGTATTAAGCTCGCTTGGGTTAGGCTAGGGCGGGTTAGATTAAGTTGGGTAAGGTTAGATAGGCTTTATAATCCGTTTGGCAGCCGTCTTGTCTACGATGTGACTTGTGTCTTTTAAGATAATACATAACGTTATTGCAAAAAAAAAAATTGTTCATGTCGAAGCCTAATTATTTTACACTGACATTTATAAAAAAATCCGTCGCCAAATTATCCCGAAACATCGAGGAATTATCAGCACAAATATTAACACAAAGTAGTCTTTGCAGAACTACAAAACCGATATAACTTATAGATGTGTAACTTTCCTTATATTTTAAGATGTTTATAATGTTTGTTAATTATTAAGGCTGCCTAATTCTATTTATCGCGTTTCTTTTGTCAATTATAGAGCACGAAAGCTGCTTGAAAAATGACTGAAAATTTAAATATATAACTTTGGCAAAGTTAACAGCCTAATTATATTTGGCATCAATAATTAACAGAATATATCACATTACGAGAATAATTTTAAAATGACTGCTTACAGAACTATGTACTTTCAACAGTCAAGAGTTTGGTGAGGGTGAGGCTAGTACATAGGTCGCATGTCAACCTTTCAACCATCAAATGGGGCGCCTGGCAACCAATAAATGGAGAGCCAAGTGCACAGGGACACATGACAACCAATCAACAGGGTATTTAGTGCACAGTGACGCATGGCAACCATTCCCTTTCAGAATCCATCTTCCGTTTATGCCTTAAATTGACCATATTTTATGATTACAAACTTAATACCTTCAATATTCCTTTCAAAACAGGAATTCCGTTTACTGTCACCAGTTAAATACTAAGTGTTAAGTGCACATATGAAGAGATATTGGCGAACCTAATTCATTTACCCAATTATCGATCTATTTCGAGAATGGGGTCCTTTAAGGCATAATAGGGTAGTTGTACAGCTTGTCAACAGTGAGTGGACGTCGCCCGTATGCACCCGGGCACTTGAGACCATTTTACCGGCATTTTTATCCGATTCTTGACGAGATACGGAACGTCGGCCGCATTGAAGAGCAAGTAAAAATATTTCTTTGTTATGGAGTCGAACGCAGAGAGAGGGCAATTACCAGTCCTAAAAGAGGAGGTTCACACACAGAGTCCCGATGGTTCGCTGGGAGAGTCAATTGTGTTTTGAGGAGTTTGTGTAGATCTGATTGATCTTAATCTTGTACTTTATAAGTTACGAAGCTTTTATGCATTTTTTAAAATGTAATACAGGAGGTTATGAAATTATTTTTGACAGATTTCAAGATTGTGACTGGTGGATCTGAGAGGAAAAGTAGACTCGAGCAGAGAAGTAGGGTAGTAGATAAGGTAGATAAGTTGGAAAGTAGAGAAGTAGGGTAGTAGATAATGCAGATAAGTTGGAAGGTAGAGAAGTAGGGTAGTAGATAATGCAGATAAGTTCGAAGGTAGAGAAGTAGGGTAGTAGATAAGGTAGATAAGTTGGAAGGTAGAGAATTAAGAAGACAATAGTGACAATATATGATCATAATATTTTTTTATACATAATCTTATTTTTCAAAATCCTGTTATATTTTTGAATTCCACATTTTATTTTCAGAATAATATGTTTATTTGGCATAGGAGAAGTACAGTAAATTTGACATATATTGTGACGGCGTCACACTGTATGCCAAACGTCACAGTATGATAACGTCACAGTATGATAACGTCACAGTATGATAACGTCACAGTATGATAAACGTCACAGTATGTCAAACGTCACAGTATGATAACGTCACAGTATGATAAACGTCACAGTATGATAAACGTCACAGTATGATAACGTCACAGTATGATAAACGTCACAGTATGATAACGTCACAGTATGATAAACGTCACAGTATGATAAACGTCACAGTGTGATAACCGTCACAGTATGATAAACGTCACAGTATGATAACGTCACAGTATGATAAACGTCACAGTATGATAAACGTCACAGTATGATAACGTCACAGTATGATAACGTCACAGTATGATAACGTCACAGTATGATAACGTCACAGTATGATAACGTCACAGTATGATAACGTCACAGTATGATAACGTCACAGTATGATAACGTCACAGTATGATAACGTCACAGTATGATAACGTCACAGTATGATAACGTCACAGTATGATAAACGTCACAGTATGATAAACGTCACAGTATGATAACGTCACAGTATGATAACGTCACAGTATGATAACGTCACAGTATGATAACGTCACAGTATGATAACGTCACAGTATGATAAACGTCACAGTATGATAACGTCACAGTATGATAACGTCACAGTATGATAAACGTCACAGTATGATAAACGTCACAGTATGATAACGTCACAGTATGTCAAACGTCACAGTATGTCATATGTCACAGTTGGTTTCCATTGTCCGGGACAGGAAGCCTGCAGGGATTATCATCTATGTCCCTCCTAGCAGGACTGAGGCGCTTCCAGCAAGAACCCCCATAACAGGTCCTTAACACCAGGGGTTAACTATTCTAGGTGAACAGGAACTTCCTATAACGTGCCCAAAACGGCTCTCCCTGCCCGGGAATCGAACTGGGATCTAGTTAGATTTGTGAGACGCCTGTCCTCTCATCCACCTCACGCTCACTCATGTTGAGAGAGCATCCCGTCCTCTAAACTCATGCGCCTCATGTTGTTGGTCCCCAACATACAAAATAGGGGCTAGTATAGATCGAAGCGGCCCACACATATCCCGTTTTCTATGTGTAGGAAGGTTAGGTTAGGCGGGTGGTTTGGGAGAGAGGAACTGTAAAATATTAAGACAAGCAAACATTCTAGTGCTTATACACGTGGTTGGTTATCTTCTTGAGGTTATCTTGAAGTTATCTTGAGATGATTTCGGGGCTTTAGTGTCCCCCGGCCCGGTCCTCGACCAGGCCTCCACCCCCAGGAAGCAGCCCGTTACAGCTGACTAACACCCAGGTACCTATTTTACTGCTAGGTAACAGGGGCATAGGGTGAAAGAAACTCTGCCCATTGTTTCTCGCCGGCGCCTGGGATCGAACCCAGGACCACAGGATCACAAGTCCAGCGTGCTGTCCGCTCGGCCGACCGGTCCCCTTGGAACCTTATCAAACACATAACTCATTCAGAAGTAGAAATACATACACGCAAAACCCGACTACAAAACAAGAAGCAAACAACCAAACAAGGAGCAAAAAAGGAAGAGAGGCACTCGGTACACACGTGCACACAGTACGGGGCAAGTGTACCCACACGTGCACACAGTACGGGGCAAGTGTACCCACACGTGCACACAGTACGGGGCAAGTGTACCCGCACGTGTATAGACCTCAGGGGACACGACCCGACCAGCGACGACTCATGGGGGCAGGAATGGTCGTCTCTGGGGTCGTCTGAACACCCTGATGATGACTGGTCCTCCCTGAGGTCGTCTCAACACCCTGATGATGACTGGTCGTCTCTGGGGTCGTCTGAACACCCTGATGATGACTGGTCCTCCCTGAGGTCGTCTGAACACCCTGATGATGACTGGTCCTCCCTGGGGTCGTCTCAACACCCTGATGATGACTGGTCCTCCCTGAGGTCGTCTCAGCACCCTGACGATGACTCCTCTGGCTCGCCCGGCGGAAGCAGCACCCAGAACAGGAACCAGAGGAGAGGAAAGGCGTGTAATTAGTGGGCGTAGTCCAGCACTGGTGACACTAGCGGCGTGTTGGAGGGGAAGACCTGCTGCCCAGGTGGATAATACAGCAGTTCGTCCTCCAAAGGTTTCCCTGCGTCAAGAAAACGGTCAGTTTAGTCTCTCCTAACCCACCAGAGGACCTAAAACAGACAACGGGATAATGCGTCACTTTCGCCAGCCGCTTCCATTTTCTAGGACAATTTTTTTGGTCTTATGTAACGCCTACGAGCGAAAAGCGACGTTCTTTTGTAGGACGACAGGTTGAAAATAGAGGGAGGGTGATAGAAATTGAATGTAAGCTGGAGAGATACTAGCCAAGCTAGTATATATATATATATATATATATATATATATATATATATATATATATATATATGTATATATATATATATATATATATATATATATATATATATATATATATATGTATATATATATATATATATATATATATATATATATATATATATATATATATATATATATATATATATATATATATATATGTGTGTGTGTGTGTGTGTGTGTGTATGTTGAATATGCATATATTTTATGTAACCCAAAACGACCGTAACTTAATACTTATCGGAGCACAATAATGAGAGCCGTCGTGCTGTTCATCACACGTGACCTCGTACACGTGTGAACAGGTGAACACCCACCAGGGGAACACCAGATGCAGGAAATGTTCACCTCACGACACCCGGCACTTAAACTCATCCTAAATTAATTCCGATTCGCCAATCCCTCACACCCACACCATCTAGCATTACACTCACAATAAAGAAAAGAGCTTCAGCACATATATCAAAGTAATTATATGTAATTTACAAAGGGAATTATAACAAAGTGATGAGGCTATGTAATCTACAACCAAGGAAAGGACATTCTGAAGGTTGTAATTACCTCAGTTTACCCTTTATTTTTGGAGGGAGGGAGGGGGCCACTACAGGTCTATGAGCCTCTGTTCCTCTCTCTCCCTCCCTCCCTCTCTCCCCCTCTCTCTCCCCCCTCTCCCTCCTTCTCTCCCACATCTACCTTCCCAGGTACTGGTGACTCAACATCCGCTGGTGGCCGAGCACTTGAGGAAGGGGGGGGGGAGGGGGGTGATAGGTGAGGAAGAGCAGGAGGAGGTAAAGGAACGCGTTGAATGAGAGAGAGAGAGAGAGAGAGAGAGAGAGAAGAGAGAGAGAGAGAGAGATAGAGAGAGACAGACAGACAGACAGAGACAGAGACAGAGAGAGAGAGGCCAGATTCACAAAGCAGTTACACAAAGCACTTACGAACCTGTACATCTTTCCTCAATCTTTGACGGCTTTGGTTACATTTATTAAACAGTTTACAAGCATGAAAACTTGCCAATCAACTGTTGTTATTGTTATAAACAGCCTCCTGGTGCTTCGGAGCTCATTAACTGTTTAATAATTGTAAACAAAGCCGCCAAAGATTAAGAAAAGATGTACACGTTCGTAAGTACTTGCGTAACTGCTTCGTGAATCTGTCCCCAGCTTCGTAAGTGCTTGCGTAAATGCTTCGTGAATCTGGCCCCTAACTCGGCACCACAACTGTACAAAGCAGCGCTCACGCATACAAGTATTACAGAATGACGAAGGTTAGGTTAGGTTAGGTTAGGGTAGATTAGGTAACAAGGTTAGATTAGGTTGATGGCTTGGATTGGAAGCAATCACAGCTCTGCATACTACCCTAACCTTCGAGGGAACCCCCTAGTTCGGTTTCCACACAGTAACGAGTGGTTTCCAATCCGGTTTAATTAGTCTCTGCTGTATATGCACCTGTCCAAACCTGCTTGACGTCAAAACACAAAGTGTTTACACACCTGCAGCCAAATGAGACAGAAATATCTCTCTCATCTGTGGGTGTGGAGCCCACGGGGTTCCTAGAGGTTTCTCATCCTTCACTGAGAGTGAGGAACATAAGGTTTGTATATGAGTATACGCAGTGGTGGGGGTGTACTGTGAGTTTACCTTACACAGTCTAGTGCACGTGGCGGGGGTGTACTGTGAGTTTACATACCTGGGGCCAGATTCACGAAGCAGTTACGCAAGTACTTACGAACGTGTACATCTTTCCTCAATCTTTGACGGCTTTGGTAACATTTATTAAACAGTTTACAAGCATGAAAACTTGCCAATCAACTGTTGTTATTGTTATAAACAGCCTCCTGGTGCTTCGGAGCTCATTAACTGTTTAATAATTGTAAACAAAGCCGCCAAAGATTGAGAAAAGATGTACAGGTTCGTAAGTGCTTGCGTAACTGCTTCGTGAATCTGGCCCCTGAAGTTTAACCGGACAACAGCCACGAGCAAAAACCAGTATCCGGAGTGTACAGCATCTTGTTCCTGCTCCTCATCCGGAAGGCGGGGAACCGCAGCGGTCATCCGGTCGGTCCGTGTCAAGTATTCATGTTCATTCATGTTCATACATGTTCCGCGGATCACCTAGCTGTTCTGGCGTCCCGTGCAGGTGCTATGTATACTCGTCCTGGCGTCCCATGCAGGTGCTATGTATACTCGTCCTGGCGTCCCATGCATGTGCTATGTATACTCGTCCTGGCTAGTCCCATGCAGGTGCTATGTATACTCGTCCTGGCGTCCCATGCAGGTGCTATGTATACTCGTCCTGGCGTCCCATGCAGGTGCTATGTATACTCGTCCTGGCGTCCCATGCAGGTGCTATGTATACTCGTCCTGGCGTCCCATGCAGGTGCTATGTATACTCGTCCTGGCGTCCCATGCAGGTCCTATGTATAGTCATGCTGGCTCGTGGATGCCGTGGAGGCGCGACAACTGCCGCTAATTCCCAGGTGGACCAAGCGCGCCCTGACTCACCTGTAACTGGTCAAAAGGTCACAGAGAGAACTGGAAGAGAGAAGATGAGAGAGAGAGAGAGAGAGAGAGAGAGAGAGAGAGAGGATAAGGGAAGGTTAGGGAGAAGTGGAGGGGAGGATAGGAGGAGGATAGAGAGGTGGGGGGATGGGTAGAGAGGGGGGAAGAGAGGAGGGGGGGATGGGTAGAGAGGGGGGGAAGAGAGGAGGGGGGGGGGGAAATAAGATATAACAGATTGTCAACTCCGCCAAAGATATGTATTCATGGACATATTCATGGATATGTATTCATATG